TATAAGTATTTAAACCATTATTGCATGTTCATATTAAAATTTGAAAACTGATTTGGCGCAGTTAAACTGGCCGGTATATGTTTGATTTTGATGCATCATAGGCGAAAAAAGGAAACGAAAAACGATAACATGGATTTAGATCGGTTTTAATTACATCAATTTCGAGTGTGATGCCCCCACTCTTCATTAATTTTTGGAAGTACATCTAAACGTGTGTCACAAATGCACCCGGACAGAGTAGGTTCATTATGATTATAAAAGACTTATGAAAAAGAAGATCGCTTAGTTGGGAAAATATGCATCATATACCACAAAAAAAAGAGTAAGATCACCATTTGTAACTCTTTAATAAAGATTATATGCACCACCACTTTATTCATAATTCTGTTCTATTTTCTAAGGTGCATGATGAAAGAAAGATACCATTATAATTGATCTCTTGATTGTCTCCTTAAAGAAAGGTTAATAATTACTCCTTCTGATCCTATTTATAAGTCATCTTTTAAGATTTCATTTAATGTCTTTAAGGTTGCATCTAATGCGTTTAAGGTTTCTTAAATATTTTAATTCCAAGTTTATCCTCCCTTAATTAACTTGACTACCATTCCATGTGACAGTCGGTTAGCTACCTTTAGGGATAATATGAATATTTTAGCAGCTAATGAATACTTTTCTTAATTTTCACAAAAAGTCAATTACGCTTTATAAATAGGACCAGGGAGTACTAAAGTTTTCATTGCTATGAGCAATTCAGTTAATGTACCCCATAATCTTAAAGAACATTAGCCACCGGGAAAAAAAAAAAATTGTATGCATAGTGAAATGGCTAAACGAATGATATGGTACACTTGATGCTCTATCCATTTCATGACGCCCATTATGTTTGTAAAATTATACAAACACATTACCGAAGATAATAATTAAGGAGATAAAGAAACTAAAGACGCTTTATTTTTGCTTCTCTCTTTCCTTAACTACACAGTTGCATGTGAATTTTCATTCATGTAAGAATAAAATTTTATTTTATAACGTATAGTTGGAAATCACTATATGTTTAAGAGGCGAGGAGAATCTCAACTCTTCATGTAAGTCGAAATCAAGTTGAACCTCTATATATTCAGCATGTCGCCAGTCAAGAATAGATGTGAAGAAGAACCCTTCTTATTGTGTTGCAAAGAAATATTTCATCTGTTCAAAAAAAAATAATAATTCACATTAAATTTTGAATTTTATATTATTTTAATACAAATTTGAAAATTGAACGTGTATTTTTTTATTTTTTTTTTTTGGATAGAGAACAAGTATTATGTTCACAAACACGAAGAAGAAGCCCTAAAACATATATTCCATATTGGTTGGCGAACTGGATTAAAAGGCCTGAAAAGAGGAACGATGCAAAGTGAGTTTGTGTCCCTACTTGGAAGTTGACCATGCAAGTAAGCAAGATCTAGAAAATGATACTACTAGTACTAGGTCTAGGGTATATAATCAAAGGAATTGGAGTTTTCCAATCATTCCCACGTTATTATTATTTAAATTAAAATAAATGATTTAAAAGTTGTGAAAATGCTCATTCTTTTCGCTTCCAAGTCGTAAATGTTCTCCTCAGACTTGACCATACTTACTTTTAAAAGTATAGGAATAATTCCATCATTCATTCCCCCACAAACTGTAACTTAGGGAAAAATGCTAATTACCCACAAACACCCTCTTAAAACCAGAATACTAAGTAGGGTTACAAACATTTTATCTGTAATTTGGAAAAATTTATATACTGTTTATCATGTACATATTTGGAAACATAAATTTTTTTTTATTATTTGAACATTATGACAGTCATGTAAATATAGTTTTAAAGGGTATGATGATATTTCTATATCTTATAAATGTCCCAAATAATTTATGACTTGCATTTTTGAATAACCGAATGTATTAAAAAGAGGTCATTGTGGTTGGTAATAAACTGAAATATGCGGTAGAAGACTGAAAATTTTACAAATCTCATAGGAATGGAAGTGTCTTTTAGCCTAAAATGAGGGTCTCTTTTTAACTCATAACTTCAGATTAAGTTGGGAATATATTAACTGAAATTTTTTTATTGCGATCTTAACAATTATATTATCTCCACATTCTAAATCTACAAAAAGCGAAACATATTGAATCTTTTCAAAGACTTTAAGTAAAAAAGAATTCTTTATATAGCATCATTGCCCTACAAATCTTTGAGAATGACTCAATGAGGAACTCAAAAAGGAAAAAGAAAATATGAAATTTCTTTGACAAGAAAGAACCCATAATGCGTTTTTACTGGTTTTTTTTAAAAAAGAACAATACTGATCCAATTTCTTTCTCTTTTCTCTTGGTTCCCTTCATTCAAAAGTAGAGAATAATTTCCTCATTCCATTTTTATTCTGCTCAACAAAAAAATGGCTGTGGATTAGTCCTTGATTTGCCGGAGTCAGTCCCTAGTCATGGGAATTGGCCTCAGTTATTTTGTCCAATCGAATTTTATTGAATAACTGGGAGTTACGGGCATATGGTCCTCCTGCTATATGAACTTTTATAGTTTTTCTACCTTGGAAAATTTATAAAGTCAATGATAAAATTTGTTCATTGTTTATTTGTTTTTAGTTGTTGATGATAGTAATGGTCCTTCAATTGTTGGTGTTCTCAATTCGGGTATTATTGGCTACTAATTAACTTCAAATTATATTAGTCCTATCCGTTCATTAAAATAAATAAGTGCTCAAATAAATGTGTGACACATGATTTCTATAAGAGCATTATGTAGAAACATAAATACTGCAGTTTGCGGAACTCAACTTTTCAAGAGTCGAGACTTATGATTAGAATATCCAGATTAATGAGTTAGTGGGGAGAAGTCATGGAACTAATTAGGGTTCCGTCATCCGTGTTGAAGAACGTGGATTGAACCCATTTTTCAATGTATAGAACTATGTAAATTGATGCGGATGCCAAATGTAAGGGCTATTTGTGTTATGTTTTTAAATATTTATATCTAAAAATCCTTTTCTTCCTTAACATTTTGGAACATTTTAGTCAACCAAAGGATAGCTCATTTTCTATTAAAAGTGAATTGGAAGATCACATGATATTTCAAAGGTAAGGCAAAAAATAAAATAAAATAAAGATTGGAACATATCTATTTCACTAAATAAGTATTTCACGAAATTGTTCTTGATACGAGTTATTTTTAGAGATTATTTGTTAAATTACTTCTTTCTTAGGAGAATTTTTTCCGACAACGTCACTATTAGTCTCTTCACATTCAACTTTTCAGTCATTATGAATGGAAAAAGTAGACTAATACATACAAAGTTCCACATGCGGTGTTGTTAAAAATGACGATCAAAAAAAGAAGATATTGTTGCTGTCTTATACACTTTCAATACACATTGTACAGTGTATATGTATAGAGTCAAAATGACGGGATTTAATGGATCCTATCCTAGCCCACGGAAACGGAATAAATATAGTTATAGCAGTAGGTTTATGGGCCAGAAATAATATTGGGCCTGCATCCTTCATAGCCCAAACTATCTTATTGAAATTCTTTCTTCCCTTTTTTTTTCCTTCCCCTCAACTATTATTACCCATTGAATAAATTTGAAACGCTAAAATTAACCAACTGAAGAAGATTTGGCATTGTCTAATGGTTTTCTTTCTTGGCGGGTTTCTTGTGCTTTAGATTATACTCCCTCCGTCCCATAATTATTGTTCACTTTGAGTTTTCATTTTTAGTTCAAATTGTACTAAAAGTGAAATCTCAAACTGGACAATAATTTTGGGATAGAGGAAGTATTTGTGTTCTGCTTTTACTTGATATATGAAAACAGATGTTTGAGTTTCATCACGTTAAAATAGTTGTTTGCAATCACAAGCTCTTGCTTGAATAAAATAGGAATGCTGCTATCTACCTTTCCGTCCTGAAATTATTATCCAGTTTAAATTTTTATTTTTAGTACAAGTTAAACTAAAAGTGAAAATCCAATCTGTACAATAACTTTGGGACAAAGAAAGTATTACAAAAAGGACAAGTTTTATTACTATCAAGTTGTGCAGATTGAAGAAAATGCAATTTTCTCACTGGCCTTCTCACTTTTTATTGGCCCAACATAGGAGGCCAAAAGCAGCCCATCGGGCTTTACAAATAAAAGTCAGTTTCAATTTGAAACTAATGTTGCAGTATAAAAGTTACACATTATCCAGAGCCCTGAATCCTGAGAAAAGCTGAACTACCTAGTTAAGGGGCCTTAGGGGCTGCATATTTGTAATTTTTACCTATAATAATGAGAAGATCAAAGAACATTAATCCTGTAAAATGTCCTAATCAGTATGACACTATTATTATTAACTAAGTTCGAGCTGGCTTTTAAAGAAAGAGTTGATATCAAATCTTGAATTTACTTCCTCCATTATTAGTTTAAAATTTGTATCTCAAATCTCACTACAATCAAACTACAAATTATAAGCATACAAGCTGCCAAAAAAGCAAGAGTTCATTTTAGATGTTAATTTTTGCTCTCAGAATATTGTAAAACTCCCTCCGATCCTTATTATAAAGCATTTTGATTTGTCCTAAGTTTAATCTAATACACATTTTTAATCAAAGAAAAAATCTTAAAAATATTTCATGACAATCAAGAAAACACAACGAATGCGAAAATATATTTTTAAGGTTTTTTTTTCAATTAAAAATATATACTACTTCCTCTGTCCCAAAATTATTGTCCAGTTTGAGATCTCACTTTTAGTATAATTTGAACTAGAAATGAAAACTCAAACTGGATAATAATTATGGGACGGAGGGAGTATATGAAAGCTAAAAAAAGTCAAAATGCCTTATAATAAGGATCGAAAGAGTACCACCTGAAATGGTGAGACGTGAGTTATTATTTATGATCCATTTCGAAATGAAAATGACAAGACCGCTCCATATCGCACCATGTATGAAAGTTTCTTTTATAATAAAATTCTCATTCCCTTCCTCCCGAAATTTTTATCCAATATAAATTTTTATATTTAGTTCGATTTGTATTAAAATTAAAAATTCAAATTAGACAATAATTTTAAGACAAGGACACTGTTAGTATTTACAGAGTATTTACAGCCAAAGGTTGCTTAAATCAAAGCAAAGCCGACTAAAGCACGTGATTCATCTAACCAACAGTAACATTCACATGCCAAATGTAAAGTTACGAAACTCCAAACGGCGTTGCAACAACTCAAAAATCAAACACGGGGAAATCCAAGAGAAAAATAGGGAAAAAAAAAATAGGATTATGATTTATTAACGTAGTCTATGGCATAGACCCATAGCTACAAAAAGAATCAAGGAATTCCTAGGCCCTAGCTAAGGAAGCAGCAACCTCGAAATAACATGATGGGCGACAGGGGCATCCCCCCTCCTATCCTACGAAATAATCAATGGAAATGGTAAATGTAAATTTACATCAGAAGGCACTAACTCAGAAACCTAAAATCAACCTGCAAGATGGAGAAAGGTTCTCCTACCAAAGACAGGAAAAACACCCCGGCGTGAGAACCAATAAACCCACCGTCGTGCAAGTTGCCCCATTTTGAGGCCTGCACAAAGAATTTAACCTTTAAAACCTACACTTTGGTTAATCTTCTGTGCTGCTTCCACAAATAAATTTCTAGCATTTTCCGTGTTGTTAGATCCGCATCAGAGAAACTAAATAGTTAGCGAAGTCAAGGCTCTAGAAAGTATTCAGAGGGAGCTGTTCTACCAGATCTTCATCAATGCTAGGTCAGTTCAATTCAACCTTCTATCCAACCCTACGAATGAAGGACCTTTGACTCTAAGCCGCTTCGGCCCACTCTCCATGGGAGCTGAATCCCTAAAAGTTTTTGCCATACTTTGCTGATAACTACCAGACCTCTGATTTTCCCTGTTCTTGTTGCTCATAAATTCATCATGTGCTGGTTTCTTAAACTTGATGCAGATAGGAACAGTATTTCTATGCTCAAACCTTTCTCTCGAATTATAATCTGGAACCTCTTTCAAGTTGCTTGAATTTGAACGACTAGAACGACTTGAATTATTGCCCACTGAAGACTCCGAAGTTGTCCATTGCCCATTGTTCCCCTCTGATTGGCATTTCTTTAGTCGCTTAAACCCCTATAAGAACAGAAAGTCTCATTAAGTTTGCCATACAAAATAAGCTGCAAACTGCAAAGAAATGTACTTGCTGATATAAAATGCCCACCCCTCATAACTCTTTCCAGCAACCACACATAAATTCCCAATGCAGTTTGTTTTTCATTATGGAAAAAAACACTGGAAATCCACCCAACGATATGACCAAATAAATGTAGATCGTGAAGCTTCCAACATTTAGGTTTTTTTTAGTATAAGCTAAGTATCTTACTTCAAAAGATAATCATAAACATCTGGGAGATCAAATGTACCATCAAGAAATCTTAAGAAATTTGTTTTGCTTTTAACTTTCAAAGCACATCTCAAAAGGCAAAACATTGAAAGTGGATAACATATATTGCAAGGTGAAATATGTGGAATAGCTGTAAGATAAGGGAAATATGACGAATCTACAAATAATGAGAGATACATGAGAAAATTGTAGTATGACACAAAAGGCATAGAAAACCAACATATCATCACATCATAAGATTCAGCACTTAAAAGAACTACGTATGTACCTGATGGTCAGAGTTTACAGAGAAGGAAGCATGCCCATTTCTATGCTCCATCTTAGCTAAAGAGCGCCTTTTAACCCTGAAGATTTCAGAATCAGATTCATCACTTTCTTGCCCTGCAGATCCACTATTGGTGCCTCGAATCACTTTCGATTGTTCACTGAAGCGTTCATCACATCTGGAAGAATCTACATATTGCTTCACAGGGTTACCCTCAGAATTACGAACCTGTCAGGAAAATGCATAAGGGCCAGCTTTCAAAATCATACACTACAAAAGGATCATGAAAATATGAAGCCAAAAAAACCATCCAAGTCTTACATTTCCATGTGTAGTTTCACTTTCAGCAAGATCATTAAAAGTACCAATATTTGGTGCATGAGAGATATGAGATGTTTCAGCCTGCAAAGTTTCCTCTTCGTGGACATACGTAGGTTGATAGCTGGCTAGTGGCTCTTGTATGTGATTCTCAATTGGCACTTCCCTACTTGCTTCAAAATTTATTTCGCAGTATGGAATATACCCATTATCATCAGAGAAAATTCTCGATAACATAGTAAAGTCCTTCCCATGTCTAATGTTGTCCTTAACTTCATTATACACACTCCAATCCTGCTCAAACTTCTTGGCTGCAGCTTCCAAGTCTTGAATATCTTCCCTAACATTTAGAGCCCGAATCCCACTACAAGGCAAGTCAAGCAACATCGGATCTGCAATAAAATATATGAGATAAAATGAAAAATGAGAAAAACTGCTTCTAAAGATAGTCCCAATATGAAAAGAAAAGTTTTAACCCCAAAGAAGTCAAAAGCTTTCATGAAAGAAAAACATACCGTGTCGCAGACACACAGGATGCTCGTAGCACTTGCAGTTCAGATATGCGACATAACAATCACGTTTACAAATACTACAGAGAATTGTTCCGTGGGAAATTGGGAAAACATCAACACATGGTTGTGATTTCATCAAGCACCAACGAGCTTTATGCTGGAACCTCATCAAATTCACGAAAGAAACCTTGATGCTTCGATGAGATTTCATGTCAGCAGATGAATAATCTGCAGTTTCAACTCCCGCACATGAGAAGAGAATCATTGCTTCTTTACAAAGAAGCTCTTCATGAGGAAGAAGGGGCATCCTGTTGAGAAGAGCATAACGACGGCTTGCTATTGACCCTAGAGGAAACCAATCACCTATAGCGAAGTTCACAGCCTCACCACAATTAAAACCTGAAAAAGAGTAGCGTTATGCTGTGAACATATATTAGGAAATGGAAATTACATTCACCAAAAAAAACCTTCTCATACAACTCCATATATAGAGGATAAAAGAAATCTTACCATGGCTGAACCCCGCATGATATGCTCTGGGAAAAGTGATTACGTACTCCCCAGGTTTCTGAACAGCCTTGAAGACCGGGACATTCTGTTCCAACAGTATGCTGGGAGGAAATAGTGTTGTCTTCCCCAAAAGCACATCAAAAGCCCCGTCCTCTCCATCAGCTGATAGAATATCATTGGTGTATACATGTTCTCGAACGGCCTTCTCAAAAACTGGAGCTGCATTACCTGGAATACCGTACCATGTCTTCGCTGCCCCACAGTGATGGTAATTGATACTGCACCATATTTCAACAGATATTCAGTCACTAGCCATCAGGTGAACATCAACTATTCAAACGGACACATACCTGTAAAGGTAATGATCTTCCACATGCCACGCAAACATGCTAAATAGCATCCCAATGTAAAGCATGGGATCTGTAACACCCTGCAAGATATCAGATATTACATCTCACTTACTATTGATATTTTTAACAAAACCAGGAATAATAATAATAAGATCATTTCCATACCGGGATATCTTTTTCTAAGAGGCGCAACACAGATTTTGGCAGTCGAGAGAGTCTCTGAAATTACAAGAGGAACAACCACTGTTAAACTAACAATAGAAATTAGCCATAATTACAGGTTAACCCCCATAAGCCAATTACAGAGAAAAGCATGTGAAGTGATGCAATTATTGCCCTTGGGGAACAAAAGAAATAAGAAATAAGATAATTATAGCATGGAAATTCAAAGTAAATGAAAGAATGTGATGTCATGCCATAATTGACCTTGTAATTATAACAAAAAAGAGATACAATAATAAAACCAATTTGGTAATTAACTTGCATGTCGTCTTTCCAAGTGCCAAGGTGAGAAAGATAACGACAAAGAAAGAAGCATTTCTGTATTGCTTCACTATCCTTTTTCTTCTTACAAAAAATCTTTAGCCAAAATACCTAGCAGGCAATTATTATTTTGTTATCTTGGCATGAACATAACTTTCTGTTTTATTCTGGTAAGTGCTTCAAAGTTTACCTTGGATGACGCTGCCACAATATTCTCAAATAAACTGCAACCAATCATTTCTCATGAGATGTTGGCACCAAGTTGCCAACAATCATAAAATAAAATCTACCTTCCCATTCAGGAGTTGTCGGTGTTTATTAATTATGTCATCTAATATTTACCATTTACAATTTTTTTTTTACTCAGAGAGAGAGAGAGAGAGAGAGAGAGATCAGACCTTCAAATTCCACTTGCTTTTCCCGAGCTGATCTGTGGAAGAAGATGAGAATGCAGTGCCATCAACATCACATGCATACTCAACACTTTCAGTCTTTCCACAAGCTATTTCATGCCAAAATTCTTTTTCCATGTATGTGGCTGGAAGACATCCAGCACTATAGTATCTACGTGCAAAAACCTTGTTCGCCATTTTCTCGAAATCACGGAAAGTATAGTTTCTGAAAAATAAAATCCATTCATTCTCAAGGGCTTAATAAGCAACCTAACTACCAAATTCAAACTGAAACAAACCTTCCACTCATGAAGAAAGTGACCCTGTCATCTGTGTCCCACTCAGCTAGGCGGAGAGGTTGAACTCTAGTTGTAAATTTGAATCCAGCTTTTTCTTTCATTAAAACTACACCAGCAGGAACTTCAGCGCTCACAGGGGAAACAATCTTACAGATACCTGCAAATTTAAGATTTCAAATTATTTCACAACTGTGGAGAAAAGAAAAGAAAAAACTCTACAATCAACAGTAAACACATGAGCATCTAATGAGAATCTAAGGACTATAAAGAATCATGAAACTTAGACCATAAGTAGAAAATATGAATGAATAAGATAAACCGGCACACAGTATATGCTGCTTTGAAACTAGACGAACAGGGAAAATTGTAATGAGTTGAATACCATATTTTGATGCTTCAGGAGCAATCTTCTGTAGATAGACAAGAGGATCATCGAACTCCTCTTTGTTTGGACGATAAACTGGGCATTCAGGTATTTGATCAATCCAGTCAAGGTCAGTAGTGTCAAACTTAGCAACCTTGCGCTTAGTGAAAAAGTCTTTCCCATTTGAAGCCGCTCCAGATCGTGAAAACGAGTCCACGCTTCCATGAATTCTCACGCCACACGGAGCAGAGCCTCTTAAAGAATCTCCTCCACTCCTACTAATCATGTTATTGGAACATCCAAAATCATCAACAGATTCAGTTTTCCTGCGCTCAAGCGTTTTGCGCTTCAAGAATTCCAATTTTGCCTCCCTCGACATACAAGCTCTTCCTTCAACCTATGAAAGATAAAGAAGCACACTCAGACAAAAGCAGACAAAATTTCTAAGATCATAACATTCAAGCAACATGCAATATCTCTAAAGACCAAAGGCAAAGTTAAAATGTCATTAGAATATACATTGAAACATTGCATCAAGAGATAGAGAGCGGTTCAACAAAGCTAAACCCGGGAATTTAATTAAATTTGCACATAAAACTCGATTTAGATGTCAATTGCCACTTATATAGCCACATAAAATCCCGCCCGCATTGACAAAAGAAAGATATACATTTAAAATTTCACGAAAGATAAATTGATTTTCCACATCGAAGTACTTCACCAAAATAAAAACTAAACAGCACCAAAACTAAACAGTAACAACATGAGTCAATTTATGCATGTTGTCAGCAGGAAGCTTATAGGTCTTGACGAACTAATGCACATATAGAATATATCAAGCTCTCTATTACTTCTCAAATTACCCACCATGAATATAAAGAGTTCAAAGAACACACAAGCAACAGGACCCCAACGCAATGGTTTTCAACAGACTTCAATAGACAGAGAAGCATGAGTATTACCCCTGCTTAATGATGCAGCAGGAGAAAGCAAATTAACATGGAAAAGGAAAAAAGGGAAAAGGAAAAAACCCATTATAATTGCGCCAAATATTTAACAAAAACCGAGTCAAACGAACAACAATTGTCACGGCCGAATACAGTACAGTCCAAGTGTGAACGAAAAATTCTACCCGGAAGTGCATTGACCAATCAGCGGTCAAATCGTCACGCAGCCTCAAAATTAACACCGTCAAATTCCCCTACTTTACTACTGGATTTCCCCAGGAAAAGTTTGTAACCAGAATCAGGGTTCTTTTAACACAGACGAGACGAAGCCAATCAAAAAATCGGGTATCCTTCTTATAATTGGAAAAGGAATCTTGGTAGACAACCCAGCAATTTCCTACCAAGGAACCACAATTTATAATAGTTTTTTGCCGTTACATGGACCCAATAAGCTCGTAAGATCTAAAATAGAAAGGAAACGAAAAAAGGAGGAAAAAAAAACAGGGTAAAAAAATCAGAGAAAGATTTCCAAAGCCAAATTGATCGCAATATTTTGCAGAAAACTTGCAGCATACCATAAAATTTTTCATGGAACAGAATAGCGTGTTAAGCGCGAAAAAAAAAAAAAAACCTGTATGAGCGAATAATTCCGGGAAGCATAAAACACGCGCAAACTAACAGTGCTTTTTCTTCAAAATGATAATTGACAAGGAAAAATGCAGAAAATTGAGAGATCCGAGTTCGGAATTGAAAAGGGGGAAACGCGAAGATACATTCCCAGAATATACATTCTGCAATTTCCGGTAAAATTTTTGACGGACGAAACCACCAGATTAAAATTTACAAATACCACCCAAAATAGACAAAAGAAAAGCCTCTCACCATCTCATTCCGAAGCTTATCTTCTCCACCGGCCGCCGTCTTCTTATGTCAGTTCTCTCAACACTCACGCAACAAGAATTTTCCAGAATTATACAAAAACCACCAACCGAAAAAAACTCAACCACCAAATTTTCACAAAGTAACCGCCAAACAAAGCCCTAAATCACGATCTAGGGCGCAAACAACCAAACCAACTTCTTCACAGTCCCCACATTCTCTGAAAAGCTTCACGGGGGGGGTCGAACCTCGGAGATCACGACAATTCCCAGAAGGCAGAATCGCAATTGCAGAGCAGAATGTGGAAACTGACAATGAAACCGCGGCACTAAGGACTGAGTGAGTTCCTCGGTCGGCGAAACACCGGTTTTCCAGCGAAAACAAGCTGTTTTCCGGCGAGAAAAAGGTGGGTATATACCTCGGTATTGCGCAGAAGTTAGAGAGAGAAAGAGAAAGAGATGGAGAGAGAGAGAAAGACAGAAGAGAGAGAAGAACAGTAGACTCAATCCAGAAGAAGTATGGCTTTAGAAAACCGGAAAAAAGAGAAAAAAAAGACAGGATAATTTATAGTTTTATATATACTTCTTTCTCACACAGTCACACACTGCTTGGAACAAGGGAAAAAAAATAAAAGTATTGCTTCTTTTATTTAATTTTTTCTTTTATTATGCAATTCTTAATAGTTTATTTATGGAAATTAGTAAAATTAGGGAAATAAAATCGGAGTTGATTTAGGAAATTATTACGTAATAAATTTCTTCTTGATCGAAATACGTTTAAAAAAGGCAATATTTACTTTCTTCTTATTTTTTATTTGATCAAATCAAAATTCAAATAATAATTTTTTAAAAAAAATTGGAATTGCTGAAATTAGTTTTCTGGTGGGAGCGAAGAAGTGTGAAGGAAAGCGGGTGGTTAGTTAGGTTTGTTCAACAAAAGCCCCTGCCGGCCTCCAAACGCACCGTTTTAATTCCCACTTGCTCTTTGTTTTTGTTTTTGTTTTCTTTTTTCTTGTTTTTCTTCTCTCTCTTTTCTCCACTCCTTGGACATTTCAACTTTTCTCCCTTAATTAATCTGAATTTCTAATTTTAACCTTCAACTTTTGGATCATGCTATGAAACGAACAGAAAAAACAAAAAACAGTTGCAACAAATATAAACCATCAAAATCAAACTTTGGATCTTGTTCAACTTTGTAGGTTGTAATAAAAAACCTAAGTGAAAAATAAAATTGATGTCCAATAATTTTTGTGTTGCACATCTTATGTACGTTCGTTGTTTGATGGGATGATAAAACTATGAAATGAGAACGAATAACAGTTATTTCATTACAATTATAAAGTTATTGCTGTTTATTTTATGAATGATAGTAAGAAATATATATTGATTGTTAATTAAATTTTAATTATCAATTATTATTATTATTATTTACTTGTCTAATTGTCTAGTCGACTGAAAATCCTTGTTTATTAGTTGATAAATCGATATGACACAATGATCGAAAAAACCCTACTTATCATTAAAAAAAATTAAATTATTGTGTAGGAAGATATTGTATGGGTTAGAATCTCTAAATACTTCACACTTTGAAAATTACTACTTTAATATTTGACAGGTGTCACACAATTTTTAAAAGAGTCAATAAATAATACCATAACCAACTGTTAGATGAATATTTAGGGACAAAGTAAATCTATGTCAAATTTAATAAATACCAACTATTTATTAAGATCATTGTCCAATTTAGATTTTTATCTACATAACAGATTATACTAAGAAGTGAAAAATCCAAACAATACAATCATTTAAAACACGTAATAATATAAAAGTTGTAAAATGGGAAGTGTTAGTGGAGATTCTTTGCCATATTATATGAGAAGACCAACAATTGCACTAAAGATAATGATCGATACAAGAAAAATAACAAGAAATTATCATAACCATTCATCTTTTACACTTTTCATTTGAGATTTAAGCATTTAGGGTTATGGGATAGTTTTGATGGTTGATACATCATTCCTTGTAAGTTTTCCTTGCAATTTTTTTTATGTACACTCTTACACTAATACTAGCGATTATACAAATTCATATTGAGTAATGATCGATGCAAGGAAATTTTGTAAAGAAAATATACATGAAATGAATTATAACCATTCATAGTTAAACTTTACATTTACAGGTTTATCAATTTAAGGGTTAGGGAATAGTTTAAGCCACGTCATTCCCGGCTAAAACTTTTTATAAATTTTTCTTTCTACCTTTCACTAACCATTCGTGTAAGCATATAATCTGTATGTCCTATTTTAATAGTTGACTTTTTTAGTTTTAAAAAGCAATTAATTTTTTCTAGGATGCATGGAAGGTAAACATATATCAGAAGAATGATTTTATGATTATTATAATATGTGTGAAATATCTAAAATAGGGTGAGAGTGAAAGATTACCACAATGTAGGGATTCAAAACTCTTTTTGGGCAATTATTTTTACTAAAAAAATACACATCTTCTACCAAAAAAAAAAAAATACACATCAAAATGTAAACAGTTAATGATATTAACAACACATTTTTTAGTGACAAAACTCCTACTAGTGTACATTGAACAACTCTTAGCAACCGCTTGCTTAGAAAAAAATGATCAAAGAGGTGATGATCAAATGACTGGGTGTGTGTTGTATCATGACATGACTTATCCATTTTAAAATACTTGTTCAATTTAAGTTATTATATAGAAAATAAAAATTAATTAACAAGGCTAGATGATACAAGGTTATATTCTAAGGATACAACAATTGAAGAGGTAGAATCTCAACTACATGACCACTAAAAAAATAAGAACGTAGAAAAAGTGGGAGTGAACTAAAGTGGTGAGTGTGCTAAGTGGTATATTTTATTTAAAAACTTCGAAAAGAAAAAAAAAACGCGAAAAAAAGGAGGAATTATCCTACATTTATCTTAGCTCATTTTATATGCATATTGTAAACCTAATTCGGTTCAAAATTCTTTTTCCTTAGATAAAAGTGTTTTTCCTTCGTTTTGAAGTCTTAGTAAAAGTTTAAAGCACACAAAACTAATTAAACTAATAAAAAAAACTATTATGCAGATTAATAAAATATAAAAACGTGTATTATTTTTCTGGAACGGAGAGACCAATAACTTCCTCAAACTATATGGATTGAGTAGAAAAGTAGTAGGTTGATATGATGCTTATACTTGCGGTACAACTTTTTGAGATAAAATTTTTTCTAGATTTTTTAGGTGGGAGGGTGGACTATAAGGCTATTGGCGGAATTACCGAAAGAAAAAAAATATGACTCTTTTTTTTTGTGAGTCGAAGCGGGGAGGTTGGGGCTTATGATTGGATTTCAACAGTCATCGAAAACGAAGGCAAAAAAGAAGAAGAAGAAGAAGAAAAAAGTAGTGAAATAAAGACATTAGTAGTAGTACTTAGTTACCACTTGGCAATTAATTATAGAGGCTTTAGAGAAGAAGAGGTCGTGGCGTTCTGTTTCAAGAAAAGAATACTACACGTCTTTTCTTTTGGCGGCCTTCGGCTTTGCGTTTAGATTCGGTCAACAATTTTCTTCTTTTTTTGCTGTATGCAATTCAAAAGCTTTTCGTGTCTTCGGCTCCGTGGCTCCGATATTAGCCACGTCAACTTATTTTCAACGCGACGGAACAGTAAACTCTTTTTTGTTTTACTCCCGTACGTCGTTACACGAGCCATACGCTGTTATTGTGTTGTAATCGCAGACATAATTTTTCCTTAATTTTTTCAAAAGTAAAATGTATCCATTCACCAACCATTGAAAATTACTTCGGGTTCTTATTATAAAATATTTTAATTTGTCCTAAATTTTATGTAATATGTTTTTAATTAAAAAAAAATTTGGATCAAATCAAAATGTCTTATAATAAGGATTGAAAAAAGTATGTAAATGCTTCCTCATCATAACCAAAGTTTACTTTCTGCTTTTTTTTTATATATATATTCATTAAAGTTACTTACACTTTCCATTTTTTTAATAATAATGTACTTTGTTAGTCTAAAATAATATTCCCTCCGTCACATATTTATTGTCTAGTTTGGATTTTCATTTTTAGTTCAAATTGTACTAAAAGTAAAATCTCAAACTGGACAATAATTTTGGAACAAAGGGAGTACTCTATTTGTCTTAAAAATAGTTCACATCGAGTTTCAAAATTTGTACTAAAAATAATACAAATCTGAAAATTCAATATGGATTGTTTTTTTGGGACAATGATAGTAATATAAAGATAATTATTAACATGTAAGGGATAGAGTACCTGTGTTTTGAGAATTAAGCATGTCCATTTTGCAATTTGCTACATGTGACATGTATAAATTTCAGATTTCTCACTTAATATTACTCTTGATTTTAAGAGAAAAAAATATGTAATAACAATAAAACACTTGTAAAACACTCTTATTTTCAGTTTCTTAAAATATTTAATTATATATGAGTGTGACGTGTGATTTTTAAGTTGAGTTGCGTATAGAATACTTTTTATTGTCTTGTAATACAGAAAAAAAATCTACTGTAATTTTCTTTCATACGATGTACATTCTGATGAAAATTTCATTAGTCTCGAGAAATATATGTCAATGTTTAGAGTAGCATTTTCCATTGTGACAAATTACGATACAAAAGGGCTAATTTGATAGTAAGGGATACCTTTTTCCCTTTAATTAATTTTTACGCCAATCACATTTTTCAAATAAACACATACCCGAACTGGAAAACTAATTGTCATTCAATGACATAAATCTCTTTCAAGTACTAAAATCCTCACATGATACACAAGTGTAGCTTTGTCGAAAAAAAAAAGAGGTCCAATTTCTTGATCTTGACATCTAAATTTGAGTCAGTTTTAATATGCAGTTTTGAGTTTCGGAACGCCAACAAAAGAAAGTCTGAAAACTACATTGAAGGGCTGAAAGACCAAGCGGAGAATTTATGTTCTGAAACTTCAGATTTGGAGAAAATTATCATGGATTATTATGGTGTTCTTTTCTCTTCCTCGAACCCTCTCGACTCTAAAATCCAGCAAGCTTGCAGCAGGATAAGCCCCAAACTAACATTGGATATGAATGATAGCTTATCACAAACATATACGACGAATGAAGCTGAAAAAGGAGATGGCTCCTTTTAAATCACCGGGTCCGGATGGTATGAGTCCTATTTTTTACAAAAAAATTCTGGAATGTTGTTAAATATGATATTACAACTTTTGTCTTGAATTTTTTGAATTTAAGAATTTTTGAGTCCCAAATGAACTACACTCATATTGTTTTAATTCCTAAAGTCAAAAAACCGGACCTCATTACTCAATTCCGTCCAATCTCTTTATGTAATGTAGTCTATAAATTGTGTTCGAAGGTTATTTCTAATAGACTACGTTCATTACTTCCTGCCATCATTTCGAAGTCTCAATCTGTTTTTATTCCGGGTCGTCTCATCACATACAATATTCTTCTTGCCTATGAGACTCATCACCATATGCAAGTTCGTACCAACTGCAAAACCGG